ACACACACACACACACACACACACACACACACACACACACACACCCTACTGACAGAGAGCCGACTGGATATCATGACGTGGCTGTACAGTTGCTGGACTGAATGCAAATTCTTAGAAATCAATGCTCTGATGGTTTTCCACGATACCGCCGCCGTGCACGTGACCACAATCAATTCTGCAAATGCTTATTTAACCTTGGCGCAGGGTTCAAGGTGTTTTGCGGCCCGGCCCGGCCCGGCCCGGCCCGGCTCCTCTCGACTCCCCTGTGCGCTATATGTGGATGTGATGTTTGGAAGTGTGAAGTGAAACAAAATGCCACACCAAATGTCAGACCACTGAGTCATTCGTGTGCCATCTGGACGCTATTATGCAAACTCGGCAAGGAGGTATTCTCCGCAGATCAGTTTTGAGCAAAGGGAAACTTATCGTGAGTAATCTTCCTGCGGAGGTGAGGGCGACTGCATCCAGAAGAAAGTGTCTAACACTGGCCTGTGCAGCCCACGGATCGTAGATATGTGGTTGATTCAGCCACTCAATCTGACTGACACCATCTGACAAACACACCGCTGCGTCATCGACACACTGACAGAAAAACATCCATTTAGCAATTCAGATAGGGACCTGAGTAACCCAACAATCTGGAGAGCATGTCAATCACAAATAATCAACCCACTGTATGATTAGACAGCACCACTGGCTTTGCATCTATTTTAGTGTGCCAATTTAAGGAGATGAAGGTGATAACTAATGGACAGCAGTGGATCTGCGGCGGCGGGGGGGGGGGGGGGCTCGTCCTCTCACCCTTGAGCTCCCTCCCACGCTGCTCCATGGTAACGCCATGTGTGGAGGTTATTTTGCGACGTCAGCTCCGGGTACGGCGGCGGTGTTCTGAGCCGATAAGCAGCTCATGGCTCCCGCAGGTTCGGACTCTTAACTCCACTGCGGTTAATTGGTCCCCAGATTACGAAGGGATCACTCAACAAGGCTGTCCAGGCTCCTAATGAGCTAAAAAAGTCTTCTGCCTCTTCTCAGTGGGCCGTTCAGCTCGGCCTCAACCGGGCTTTTGAGCGGAAATCACCAGATTGAGACGAAAGTTCTTAGAAAGTGAGCGACCGGGAGCCGCGCTGATTTTAAAGAGTATGACACCAATTAATGATCAAACGTGGTGGAGTCGACTCGTCAGTGTGGCTCCTTCTGTGACTGTGACGTTGGTCGTCCTGTAGCTGCAACTTTCACAATGACTTCATCGTTTACTTTCTAGCAACGTGACGTTTCCCTCCAGATCTCGGGGAGGTTAGGGTTAGACTGATGACGATGTTTACCTGTGCGTACGGTCGTACAGGTGGCTGCTGATGGAACACTAACACCTGCCTTTCAGTATACCGCACGCTGATGACATGAAGAATGGATGTTTGCGTTAAATCACATCACATCAGACCATATTTACATTTTTCAAAGCATTATTTATACCATGATGACACAGAAATAACAGCCCTGTCAACAAAAAGCTGCATTTATATAAAACTGATCTGCATCAGCAGGTATGTTTTGTAGGGAATGTGACGCAGCCTGAAATTGTATTTTGATCAGCATGACGAGGAAAATGTTCACTGGTGTTTAACATTTATTTTCCTTTAGTTTCCGCCGTATTGTTGCAGATGTGTTTCAGCAGCTCAGGACACACAGTTAAGATGAAGTGTGTTAGCAGCATAAACCTACAGTCAACAACGTGTAGGAGGATCTAGATAAAACTATATTATATAATACTGTTCTGCACTATAGGAATTTGGCCAGAATCATTGATATCTTTATAAATAATTTCACTTTTAAAAGAGGATAATTTAGTGCTGTGTAAGGGAGAAGCATGTATTTATGAGCTGAATGAATTATTAATAGATTACTTCAGATTACATTTTCATTATCACCGAGTGATTTCTGAAACATTTGTTTTACCATTCTCCATTAATTAGGTCTAGCCTCGTTAATAAAAGACATAAGACACACTTGTCTTTTATGAGTCTAATGTAAGTTCATGTGGTCGGCACATGATCTCATATTTTTGGCACTGATCCGATGGATGCTCTTGGCAAATTATTAATGTTTCATTATTAATGAGCACTGGTATTGGCTGCTGCCTCTGTCAATCATTCTGTCTTGAACACAGGCATCTGCCTTGTTGAATGAGACCAAAGGGGGGCTGGACACTTCTGAGACAATGCTGATTAGCTGTGGAAGGTCCCACCTCACAGCTGAGAGGCTGCAGGAGGAAATGCATGAGAGGTTTTAAAGAGGTTCATGGACGCCAGAGAAAACAAACTAAAAGAGTCCATAGCTCCTATAAGGTTCAGTTCAGAGGCCTGAAATCTCACACAGTTGTTTTTGACAAGCTGTAGAAGGGATCTGGTGTGTTTCATTGTTCTTGTGTAAAGAATGTCCTAGTTATGGTTATATCAAATATGACTTCTTCTTCAGGCGAGGACAAAAAAAGAAAAACCTCATGTCTGAAGTGATGAAGTTCAGTTTGGGTTTTAGTCTCACGATGAACCATCAAATTATCAGAAACTGCAAGATCCTTTCAAGTGACGTCTCATGAATGCATTCTGGTCTTACGGTTCTTCTGTTATAAGCCTTCTCATTTGAATATGCAAATCTATGCTAATGACGTTAAAAGGGTGAATTTTAAGAGGTTAAGAACGGCATGTAAATGCTTTCCCATCCTGACTATAGGTTAAATGACTCTTGTTACCGCACAGATAGAAACCAAACAGACATGAATTTATATTACAGAGCTGTTGATTTAATATATTCAGGAGACACAGTCTTAGATGTGGCTGTGAATTTCCCCCTCGAATCATCTCCTCTGTGAGACTCACTGTGAAGCATTTATGTGAGAAAAAAAGAGAGAGTCGGTGAAGGAACACACAGAAGACATCCCATCTATCTCCATAGCTCGAGCAAATATTGGAACCCATGATGTGAGCACGTCGGGCCTCCCTCTCCTCCTTCACGTCTGTGACAGATGTAAATGGATGTTTCAGCAGTTGGCTCTAATGCATTTTTAAACAGGCACAGCAGCAGACAGCAAATGAACGTGTCGCGACGGCAACGCTCTACAACGAGGTCTCCATCTATTGCTGCCTCCCCCTCATATACAAACATACAAACCCCACACACACACACACACACACACACACACACACACACACACACACACACACACACGTGTTCCTGCACACTGCTGAGAATAGCTGTCATTCATCACTTTTCTCAGTACAATGGGCTCAGTAAAGGTCCCATCTTTCAACTAAAGCACCTCCACAGTGTGGTGCCCAGTCGAGCACTGTACCACTGCATCACGCCGCCTGTCATCCGCAAACACTCCTGCACAGCGGGACGGAGAGATGATTGGGTGAAACTGTTGTTGATTCTCCAGGTTTGAAAATTAAAATGGCTCTGCTTTTTTACACATGACGACGTGTAAACAAGGAAAACTGAAAGAGCGCCAGTAAAACTTTAACTAAACTAAAGTGTTTCACCTTGTTCACGTCCAAATGATGTTTTTATATAACACAGACACATGATGATGAAATAATCATCAACACCATGACCGAGTGTTTCCACCTTGACCTGCAGTGAGCCAATCACAGTCTCATAGAAACAGATTCAGGGTTTCATACGTCACAAACCTAAAGAACCAATCCGGTCACCTTGTGGGGACGGGGGGCGGGGCTAAATACACCTGAGACTTTGTCAGTACAGAGAGAGAGGGAGTTAGCATTAGCACAGCTGCTAACACTGTGTCTGCCACTGACCGTTACAAGCTAACAAACAACATAAACAAATAAAAGATGCTAACTGTGCTAATGGTTCTGACCCGTCTGCTAGTCTCTGGTTCTGGTCTCAGAGTCCTCCTCTGAGTCTGGGTCTGACTGAGGCTCCAACATGTGGCTGAGTCTCTCTGATGTTTCCTCCTCTCACCATCTTCATGCTCTCTGCTCTCTCACCTGTCCACCTGGAGCCAGCAGGTGGTGGGCGGGGCTCAAGCCCTGATCCAGGTTTCTCAATCAGGAAGTGAGAGGAGATGAAAAACATATGAGCAGAGGATTTTAAAAACATGTCTGGAGGAACTTTAACATCATAAGTGGAACTATGGAAGTTTGGTCATGTAATAGTATCATTTAGCTAGTTGCTAACGTCTGTTAGCCGAGTTGAGCTGAGGGGAACAGCACAAATGTGTTAGCTTAGCGTTAGCCTTTGACTAATCACCAGCGTTCCCTGAGAACTTCGGTTGATGTGTATTTGCTTGTACTCTGTGGTTGTGTGTTGTAATTCTGTGATGTGAAACTGAGGGATGTGTGTCTCAGTTTTATTCATTTGCAGCATTTTTTTATTTTTTTTTTTACACTAAATGCAAATTCTATATTGTCAAAGATGTTTTCTTTATTTCTCTTCTGATCTGTGGTCTCTTGCGTTGGCCGCTCTACATCTGTTCTAATGATGAATGCACAGATTCATGTGATAAATACTGTGTGCTAGCACTGTTTGTTTGTTTGTTTGTTTGTTTGTTTGTTTGTTAACCTGTAATCTTCTGACTGTACTTCCTGTGTTCTGTCTGATGTTTGCAGAGGTTACAGCGGACTCCACTTCCTGCCGATTCACTCATCCCCCGCCTCGTCCCTCATCTCTCTTTATGTCCATATCCCATAATCTGAGGAAATTAAAGGGATATTTCACCCACTAAATAAGTTTACCGCCAAACTGAAGAATGGCGACGTGGCATCCTGACTTGTTTACTCTATAAAAGTCAATTGAAAATGCTCAAATTTCTCTATATAACTGTGAATTATATAAAAAAAGCCACAGAGAGACAGATTTAACAGCGTTTCAGTGAATTATCTCTTTAATCGTCGCCCTCACTCTACTAACAGTCTGTATTTGAGCTGATACAGAGCATTCCTCATAGACACTGAACAGATGTCTCATTGCTTTTGTCATTGCAGGTACCCATCAGCACAACTATAACCATGTGGCTCTAGGTAGCCCCACACGCACACCTAAGAATGGTAAGACACAGCAGTGGGGGAGGGGGACATGTACAGCTCAGGTCGGTGTGTGAGGTGAGGCCCGGACCTGGGCGCTAACCTGAATATAGTGCTCGACATGGATGTGTAAAAAACCCTGCGAGACAGACATCCTATTCAATTCGCCCCGCCGCAAATCCATTTTAATACTGAAAATTAGGCTTTTTTTGGTTGAAGATTGAATTATAGAAGTGTCACATCCCATAGTCAGGAACATTTTTCTGTGAGCCGGATCAGGACACAGCCGCCGTCCTTCTGCTTTTTAAAAGGGAATGCAGTTTGGCAGAGCGTGTGAAACCTGCTGTTATCCCCGGAGCAGAAGTTATCACCGTCACCTCAGGCTCCCTGCGAGCGCCGTCACGTGAATCGTTTTTTATCACCGATGTCATTCGGCTGTTTGTTAAAATAGTCGTTACGAGGGAGCAGACGCCGGCAGACGTGAGGGGGAACGGTCGCGTAAGGCGGCGAGGTGGAGGCTGGAGCGAGGAACGACAGAGATAAGAAAGAAAGAAAAGGCCACAAGCTGAATATTCACTGACCTCTGTGTTTATTAAATCACTGTGATCTCAACATTTGATCCATATTCTGTTTGTCTGAAGCACAAACATAAAAAAATGACTTGATAGCTTTCAGGCCACGTTTGAATTCTTCAGCCACAGTGGCCCCTGCTTTATGGACATAATTGACCATGCGGTCCATTTGACACACACACACACACACACACACACACACACACACACACACACACACAGCCGAACCACAACTGTGCAGAATTGCCTTGGAGATCTATTGAAAACATGAAAAATCCATTTCAACAACACGTCTAACAGAAAGACTTTGATCACAGACCACCCCCCCACCCTGCACCCCCCCGGACGGCTTCACATTCCAGTACTAAGTGTATTTTCTAGATTAAACCTGCCCCCCCCCCCAAACCACCAGCAGCCAACAACTGAAACGACCAGGAAATCAGGAGCAGAACGTGCATCATCTTACTTCACGTGTCTCTGGAAGTCAAAGCTGATTTTATTTGAGTTATTTCTGAGGGGGGTGGTGATGAAGTGGGGGGGTGGGGGTGGGGTGTGGGCGGTCTGTGTAGGTTCTGTTTTCTCTCACCATCAACTGAAACATGTGTTTCTCACTTGGGTTTGGTAGCTCACCGATCATTGAGACGTGGTAAGTCATACAACATAACATATGTTTAACTTAGTGTAAAAAACCTCATTCTATGAGCACACGTCTGTGTACACATGCACCACCAAACTAACCCCCACATCTGTGTCCTCCTCTCCTCCACTTCTGTCAGACCTGCTCTTAAGTAGCATTTGCTGTTTGTTTTGAACCTGTTTTCAAAAAAAAAAAAAAAAACTGTGGTTCTTCTTCATTGGGGGGCGAAAGATTCCCAGAAAGTTAATTCTATGTGTTTGTTACTGTACAGGACACAAGCTGATGTTTTTCTTCCTGTCAGCAAACCCACAAAAAGAGCAAAACCAACATCATGTTAATCCCCGTTTCAACACTTCCTGACCTCTCTGATCGTCTCGTGGCACGCAGCCCCGAGCCATTGATTTCTGCTGCAGACATAAAGCTTCACAAATATTTAGTTTTGAAAAAAAGAAAAAAAGATGCAAGTCATTTCCTAAAACAGCTGGGCAAAGTAGTTACTCGAACAGAAGTAAATATTGTCTCTGTTTCCATTGGACAGACAGTCGACCGATCAGAGCTTTGAAGCTGAGAAAGTAAAAATGGAGACGTCACCTCCCTTAAAGACTAGCTTGCGAATTCCCTAAAAAATCACGACTTTAACCCTGAAATTACGTTATTTTTCAGATGTCGTAAAAACAACGTTATAACTGCTCCTTATAGCAACTGAAAAATGGGGTCAGCATCTAATTGAGTAAATAAAGGGTGGACGTAGTCTCCATGACGTAACACACAGGTTTCTGAAGCTCAGACAGTGGCGTTCCTGCGCCCTACCGTAGTGCTCATGATTTGCAGTGTCTTGACTCCGCCCCCTAACTCCAGACATAATCCAAAAAATGACAAAGAGGAGGGGCGTGTGTGGAGCTGAGACTTTGGTGCAAGAATACGCTCACCCACCTCTCACTCACAGAAGGGCCACGCCCTCAATCCTCGGCATAACTGTAGTCCTTAATAAAAGTGTAAACAGGTGAGTTATATAAACAGAGTGTTTAGAAGTGAGAAAATTTAGCTCTAGGACAAAACAGTTTTTTGTACCAGGCTGTAAACATGTTATTTCTGCTGTGAAGTTGGACATTTTAACATGGGAGTCTATGGGGCTGACTCACTGTTGGAGCCAGACTCTTAGTGGCATATTAGAGGAACTGCAGCTTCTGTTTCTTGGACAGGTTTATATGAGACCGACTCAAAACGAATTACAGTATTAGTAGTGTAAGACCTTGTTCGTCCAGGTAAACAACGTTTGGTTGTTGATGTTTTCGTGGGATTTATTAACAGTAAGAAAATATAGATTATCATCAGCTTTACCCTTTAAAACAACTTGCAAAGACTATTTGAGTCAGGTCTGTGTGGTCGTACTGTCCGTTGTGATGAAGCAGTTAAATGTGTGTTTGCTATGGAGGATAGCTAACAGCATGCCACAGTCCGAGTCGATTCTCCCCTTATTGATGCAGTGTGGCAGACAGTCCACTCACAGTTTCATCCACATCCTCCGAACGCCCCCCCTGCAGCTCCCCAGGCCCCCCTGCTCTGTCGCCCCGGCCCTGCTGCCATCCTCCGACCTGCTCTCTTCAAGCTCCTCCTCTCTTCTAACCCCCTCCACCCTTTAGATTCTCTTATCTCTATCTCTTCCCCTTCCTTCTCCCCATCCTGCAAGCAGTTACTAAAGCCCCCTATTTTTAACTGTCAATTGGAGACCGGTCTGGAGCCGCACCCATGCCCGGCTGCTCTGCACTGCGGTGACGGACTCACGGCTCGCAGGAGAAAGTGTGATGGATAGAGCGGGAGTGAAGGAGGAAAAATGAGAAAGGGGAATACTGAATAGACAAGAAAGAATTAGGGAGCGAGGGAAAGTGGGTGGCAGCATGGCTGGACAGATAAGATTGAACAGAAGCGAGGAGGACGGCGGTGAATGGGACTGACTGCGCGAGTGTTTGTTACGTGCATTGTGTGAGAGAGGGAGATAAAGAGGAAGACTAGAGTGAGAGTAACATAAATGGCTCTTCATCTCAC